TTAACATGCGCACATCCTGTTCAGGTTAATCCAAGGAATCAAACGCACTTCAGTACTTCAGTAAGAACGCGCCATAAAAAGTATTTATCTATTCTCTATTTACCCTTCTATTTTCATATTTTGTCATCTGATAAACTTGTTACGAAAATATTTTAAATTAATTTTGAAAGATAGCAGTACGTGTAAGTTCATTTGAATTCGCTTTATACGTTGCATTTTGTTCTTTTTTGCTTGATATGTTTTAGTTTGTATTTTTCTCTTAATATGTTCTATCTATTATATTGATATATTTTGCTTTGGCTACATTAATGCAATGTCAGAAAGAAATTTTTTTACGGATATAGTCAGGTGAGCTGATGACGGGATTGTATTTTCTCACTATTTTGTTTTCCAACATTTTAATTTTTAATTTTTTTCTAAATAAAATTCCTAAATATTTTTTTAATTATTTTATTTTTCGTAAGCTTTTTTTCTCTTTTCATAAGTCTTCATCGTATTTTTTTCATATTTTCTTCGTTATTCTCTCTTTTCTCTTTGGTCTTTATTATGTTATATCTATTATATATAATTCTCTTACGTGGACATCTGTATTGCACCAATCATTAATGCTATTACGTAAATAAATTAAAGATACAAACATACTGATGCATTAATAAAACGGGAAAAATAAAAGAGAAAAATGCAGTAAAGTATAGCGTGTGAAAGAGGAATAAATAGGGACTGAATAGCCTTGTTGGTAGGGCGTTAGGCCCATGTCCTCGTGGTCGTTAGTTCGATCCCCACCGGCTGAAACTCCCCTTGCACAAAATATTGACTGGTGCAAGCTAAAAAGTCCTCAAAGTTCCCAAAATAAATCAATACCTTAGGGGGTACTGGTTCGGAGATTTATCATGCTCTGGTTCAGATCAAAATTCGATTTACCGATAAATGGAAGGTGCAGAAATGTGTCATCCCTGTAAAACGGGCTGTATGTGTAGAAGAATTCGAACTCATGGTTATAGATGGCACCACTGGAAAACAAGTAGAAGTACTGCCTTTTGCCTTAAAATAGACTTGTTAGTTTTGACAAGTAGCGTAAGACAACAACAACAACAACAACAAGAATCGTCTCACAATCAAGCTAGTCGTAAGAGGCTTCTGTTTCAGACACATTGTCTTAAAGTTAAGCCCCAATGGCCTATGCACAGGGTAATGAAAAACGTACGACACACGTGTTTCGTAATTTCATAGAATATTTGTTGAATATTTGAATGAAATAAAATTGATTTTTTTTCTCTTTTTAAATTTAATCTTACTTTTACAATAACAAAAAGTTTATTTTAGATAAAATAAATTATATTATAGAGACAAAAATCAACGTCTTTAAAATTAAAAAAAAAAACTGAATTTAATAACATTTTCCAATGTTACATATTTAGCGTTTTTTAAATATTTATTTAGCATTGGTCTTAAAAAATATGCTTAAAACATTGTCTCTGGTGGAACATCCCTATTTTATTTATATTGGTTTTTAAATTTTTGATTTGCAATACAATTTTATTTTGAAAATGAAATAATTTGAAAAGAAATCTATCAGAATATAGAATAATTTTAAATGCGTTTTAAAAATTAACAAAAAAAACTTATCTAATAAATAATAAATTGTTAGGAGAGAAATGAAACCGAATTAAAACTAATGCATTTCGAAGGCCTTATAACAAAAGGCGTCAGTTAGAAAATTTACGTCACCACTCAGAATTGGTTTTCTATTAAAAAATAAATATTTCATTTAAAACCGTTAAAAAGGACGACGATCAATTTGAAAATTATTTTTTGGATTGTAAAACAGCAAAAAAACATGACAGTTTACATGAGAGTGGGTGGCACATCGACCTCTTTTCTTTTTTATTTTATTTTAAATAAGTAAAATTGTGGGGGAAAAGTAAACTGCAACGTCTAAAAGCCGTCAATTGGATCATTAACTTTCGGGTCACATTACTTCAACCCTGTGACACATTTTCTGTTATTTTTTATTTACTTTTTTGTATTGATTTTGTATTACCAGATTGTGGAACAAAAATAGAAGCTACGTCAAGTATTCAGTTTTAGATTAACTAAAAAAAAAGAAATTTTTCAGCCGTAAAGTTGGAAACAAGGTTATTGGTTTGATAAACGATGTTTTAATAAAACGATGCTTAAAATAAAACATATCTATTCCATTAGTGTTGTTTGTTATGCTTGTAAAATTTCCGCATATTAATAAAGGAAATGTTGAAATAAATGTCTTGAAAAAAACTTAATATGGTTTATATAATACTGGTTTTCTTAACTATTTTCACTTTTTCCCATTGCAATATTTCACACACTTTTTTCTTGCTTGTTAACTTAGGCATAAAAATAACAAAGCTGTAAATCTTCGCATTAACCTATTTTTTAAAAACAAACACTATTTAGATATAATCTCGATTAATTTAATAAGCATTAAAAGTTAGACAGTAATGGAAAATTAAACATAACATTAAGTTAAAAATAAAATAATTCTTAAAAAATTATATCAAAAGAGTTAGATTTTTTCACTGATTTTGATTATTTAAAGACACGCTATATGAAAATAATTTATAAATCCAGATGATTTATAAAATATTCTTTATTTTGCTTGATTTAAAGTATACTATAAATAATAAGTATCAACATAAATTATTTCAAAAATAATTAATATTGTTCAATAATGCTAATTAAAATTGCGATTTATTATTTTCGAGTTCTTAATTTGACAGTTGCCAATTTTCTACTCAAATAGTAATCTTCAAACCATGTATTTTTATTTTAAACTGTAGAATTACATTATGTAACTGTATTCGATGCGTAGTTATTAACCCTCTTCAAATGTAAATCGAATAAACAGCATTGGTATATCAGTTTAACATTAAACTAGGGTAAAATATCCTAAAGCACATGAGCTTTGTGATAAGTAATAAAATGAAATTGAGGTAATTAATGCTAGATTATTTTTATAAATCTTATAAATTTCTTTTACAACATGTACTATCATAGTGGAGGGTGTACTATAGATAGTCGACCTACCATACTTGAAAATGTCATAACGATGTCTAAAATCGTACTTTTTTCTGAATCCAGCTTTAATGGCTGCAAGCATTAGAGCTGAGTTTTTTAATGTTTTTGGTGAAAAAATATAATGCGTACTTTTCGTTTTCCACCGAAATACCGCCGACTTGAGGATATGTAGGGTAGAAGTAAAAGTATTTTCTCTTTTTTATTTATTGTTGATATGTTCAGCATTTTTACACTGCTCATAAACTATGATGTACTATTAATCAAGATATTTCTTTGAAAACACATTAATAAGATCGTATTGATTAAATCTACTAACATATTTTGACACAAAATAAAAGTATAAAATGGCGATTGGCGGGAGGCAGCTTACCCCACCATTAATTTTAGAGTTAGCCAACAATCGTTTAACAGGTGACGCACCTCCTGACTGCCACTTAGCTTCTTATGCGCTGGATCTTAATACATATGATGCTCTGTTAAATCAGAGAATATTGATCACCCTGCAAGTTCTTTTTCTAATATAGCATAGCGCACCGTGTAATTCATCATGTTAGTTACGCATTCGAAGAGCTGAACTTCTTCTTTCAATAATCTTTTCCTCAATTTCACCATAGCTAACTTAGAAGAATGCCTAGTAAAGAGACACTTCCCTAACAACCAGTTAGTTGGAAAAGGAATCTTTAGGTAGAAACTCCGAAATTTAAAGCAAACGTCTTGACGGTGTCAATCTGGTTACCATTGCGCACTGAACGTCTTTACTTTCCGTCATTGTCTTCAAGATGTTACCAGTTGACCTGAAAACTAAATGAGCTTGAAGCCGCCACATGGTATGGAACCACGATCAATCACAATGACTGTGCTGTTTTCTAACCAATGTTAATCACTCTAATCACTGTTACATTCTGTTTTTTATTCAAAATTTAAGCGAAATCTATTTAAGTCAGGTGAAAACATGTTCAAACCTTACTACGGGTATCTTTAAGAATAATAATTTTCTTCTAAAATTACGCATTGCTTTAATTATACGCTCAATTAAAATGACAGGTTTCAATCAAAATTTTTTTAAATAATTATTAAAAAAAAATTTCCACCTAAATAAAACTGTCGTTACGTCTTCTATTATCATTGATTTAAAGGGAAAGCAAAACCATTTAAGAAAGGTGCGAAGTTTAGATTAGTTTTTCTATAAAAAAAGTGTTACTGCACACTTAAAGTAAATAATTTATAATAATGAAAATGTAATTTTTTACTAAAAACTATGAATATACGAAAGCTTTTTTCTTCATAGTTTACTACTTTCAACAACTATAATTCGTTAGATTTGTTAAAAACCAAACCCCTTTTAATATATTACTTAATTTTTAAAAAAGATATTCTAAATTCCTAAAATATTTGATATCTCTGAAGGGGATCTTCCAAAACATAATTTTAAAATTCCAGTTACTCAATCTTGCATAAAATAATTAACATTCTTCTTTTTTTTTTCTTGTTTTTTTGTTTTTTTTGTTTTGTACTTTTATAAAAGAAACGAAACGCATTAATGAACCTTAATTCAACTAAATTTAAAACAAACTTAAACTTTCTTATTCAGTTGCAAATAAAATGTAATTATAAAAGAAAGCAAATTTTTTGAAGATAAATTTTAATAAAATTGTTTCATGAGATTTGTTTTAAAAAATGCATATGTATCGCAAAAATCCTTCAGTAAACTTTAATGTATTTGTTAAGTAACATATTACTTAAGATATTTAGTTGTTAAAACTCCATGAAAAAAAGAAGAAAAAAGAGAATTACGCTCAAAAAGAAAGTTTCACTGAGTAATTCAGTTCATTATCTTTAGAATTTGCAGAATACAATTGAATCACACAAAAATTAGCTGCGTCAAGGATCTGCGAGCGCGGAGAATGAAAGCACTTATTTTCGAACGTAGACAAAGGATGGCTTACCCAGATTTACAGCAACAGGAACACCAAATTTCAAGAGTAAATCTTTTCTTTATTTTTGTTTGTTTTTTCACCTTTCAACTCTAGTTTCTCTTGCAAGAGCGACTGCAGCACGTACCGTCCCTCCACCTTTCTTTCAGCAGCACGTGGAAGCTTAGAAAGTTGAAAAGAGAAATCTTAGTCATGAACTAAGAAAGTTTTTTTTCTTTCTTCTTTTCTTATCAGGGAAGAAAATTGTTACTTAGATTGCAATTAAACTTAAGGTTGAGTAACTCTTTATTTATTTGTACCTAAACATATTGGTTGAGTGATTATATTTAAGATGTTTTAAGCATCAGAAAAAGAAAAATTAAAATACGAATCTCTCTCACATAAAAACAAAAATTGAAAAAAAAAATTAAGCTTTCACTTAAAAAGAAATCAAAGTGAGATAAATGAAATATTTAAATAATAAAGTTCTATGATGCATTAAAATATTTGTTGCGTTACAAAAATTCTAAGAAAAATTTCTATTAGTTTACTTAAACGCTGAATTATCAACTTTTACAAAATCATTGTTAAAACCTGGCATCAAAGTTTCTGAGGCGTATCTTTTCAGTTATTGAAATAAAGAAACATTCCAGAAATGTTTTAAATGTTCATAAAATTAAAAATAAAAGCGATAAAAGATTTTACTGCATCAGTGATAGAAAATTTATTACAGTCGAGTCTTAGCGCCAATTTCAATTCTAAAATGTGACACTTGAACAATATAATCTCTTCTGCATTGTTTCTTAATAGTATTTTTATATTCAGTCGTTGTAAAGATAAGTTTAATTAACTTAAATTCAATCTTTTAATAAAGACATATAATCACATAGACGTTTTAAAGAATAAAAAAAATATCTATAATTATATATAATTTTTTTTGAAATAACAAATATTTCAGAAATTTTAAACCTCACTTTAAACTAAAAATTAGAGGACATTCGCCAAATGGAGAGGCTCCTACAAAAGACTTCTGGAGAAGTCCAGAGCCCACCCAGAGCTGTCTTGCAGCTGAAGAAGAAAAAATGGCACTGTGCGCAGCAGATGCTCTATATCCCTTTATCTCAGAAAGAGAGAGTAATTTAAAAACAATGTTTTTTTTTATCAAAAATCACTAATTATAAGAATGTTTTCAAAAATTGTATTATATTATTTATGGAATATTGGAACAAATATTGTGACATATATTTAGTAAAATTAACCTAAATAATGAAAGCAATACATATGCGGCTAAATTGTAAAAAGAATTCTACCTTGTTGAGCTCAATAGTAGATGTGGAATGCGAAAAGCTAAGACAAAGATTCGGTAGAGCATAAATATTTCTAACACAAATGAATTAAAATTAAGACATCAAAAAATAGGAAGAGTTTCAGGAAGCAAGTGTGTGTGTGTGTGTTTTTTTTTTTTAAATATTTTAAAAATCTCAAAAACAAATGAAACATAATGATTGTAACAGAAAAAATGACGCAGAAAACATTACATAAACAAGAAATGTTTATCCATCAGTATACAGCATTTTATTTTCTTATAAGATTTATTAAAACGTGCAAATTCTTAGAGAATTAAAAGTAATGGTCGAAAAAACTTCCCATTTGATTTATTACTATATTTAATATCATGGATAATTACTTTTAATCATATTTTTTTTCCTTTCTCATTTTTTTCCTTACTTATTATTTTCAGTAACTGAAACAACAGTGTTTGTTTTTCAGAAAAAAAATTACGACCCATTATTTAAAAATCCATTAATGAGTGTTACTTTAATTAATAATGAACAAATTTTCATTAATAAATTTGTTACAAAATCAAAAAGAACTGTTTTTAATATTGTCACTTATTTTTTTCAGTTGCATGCATTTTTTCAGACACTATTCGGAAATATTTCAGAATAAAAAACAGAAAAAGCCTTTATAATGAATTGTTAAAAAAAAGCATAGAGGCTTCTAGAATAAATTATTCATGTTTTTTTTCTTATAAAAGATTATCTTCATAAAACTCAAATAATTACATTCTCTATCATCTCATTAATAATTTTAAGCGTTTGTCGATTACCTTGCCGAGCCAATGAGCTCGTGTATCCTTTGTCTCATCGAAGCATAAAATAGGTTCTACTCCAACTTTAGACATTTTTCGTTGGTGTATTAGATAAGAATATTTCTTTTTCTTAATTCCGAGTTATTATTTTCTGAATTGCCTCAACGTAGCACGAATGCTTGCAAAAATGTGACTAAAATTATTGACGAAGACTTAAAAAAAATTTTTTATGTGGTTTAATTTTCAGTAGTGCTTCGTTTCATCAGGATTTGATAAATTTGAATTCAAAATTTTATATTTTTACTTCTTAATATTTAAATTTCTTTTTCCCTGTCAAATATTTTTCAGAAAAAAATGGTTTAAAAAAAATTATTTAATTGTTATTTTATCATATTCGGCCAAAACAGGCAAAAAACCATCAAGATGTGGTATTCAAATTTTTAATTGCGAGAAAAATCGTTAATTGACTTTTTTCACCTAAAAAGGTTAAACAACCAGAATTTCATCAGCACCAAACAGGCCCACATCCATTGAAAATCGAAAGCAAGTTCTTCGGAAACTGGAAGCTAAGTTATGCAATTTCCAAAATCGGATGATAAAATGCCTAACACAACAGCAGATATCTAATAATATTACAGTAGTAAACAGTGCTCCAAGAATTTGAATGTCGGGAAAATGTCGGTAGCTGGCAAAAAAATTTTGTAGCCAGTAAAAATATAAGCATCTTCCCCATTTCTAGTTTTTTCTCCTTTCTAAACACGAAATTTTGTCGAAGACATTCGTGCATCAAAATCAAGGAATGGCTATTAACCCTTTATGGTCGTATTAAGTTTATACATGAGTGTCGTGCTGGTTGGAATTAATTTACTTCAGCAGTTAATAACTTACTCAATACAGTTTACTTAAATACAGTTTATAAAATATTATTTTGAATTCTGCGTATCTCCGAAGCTTGTCGACTTAGTATAATATGACATCAGCATGGTTCGTTACTGTGGTGGCTGAGTGGAGACATACGACCGCAAAATGTTAAAAATGAATGAAATACTTGTGAGAATTTGCAAGTACGTCTAATAGGGTGCTTTATATCCGTTTTTTACGCAAATTTAAAGATTTTTTCTGAATCGTCAAATCTTTCAAATCCGCGGATCCAAAGAATTTCGAAATCATGAGCCTTGTAAAGCATTATTATTAATAATAATCTCATAAATTTGAAAAAATAAGTGTGAGATAAGTAACTTTTTCCTTTTTTTTTGATAAATTTATTTTTTAAACATCGCTTTTAAAGTTTTATTTTTTTTAAATATTAGAGACGCAAATTTAAATTATCATATTTCGATTAGCGTGATTTTGGGCTTATTTCATAAGTCCGTGTGACTTTTCAGCAATTATTGTTACAGATTTCTACTTAACTTTTCGTAAATCCCGATATTTTTAATAGCATATTATCACTACTAGTGAATTTCGACTGCCACATTTAAATTGTACTTCTTTAACGCAAGCGTTTGATTTGCGATGATTTGACCATGAATTTGGATTTCTAAATAGTTTTTTAAGTCCCGATATTTATAAATCAGAACTACCACGATGCAATCACGAATTGCGTACATGAGAAATCATCTTCCGATTTTCGACCTCGTTAGTTGGATTTTGCACCGATTTCATCGTAAATACATATGGTTTCTGATCGCAAAACCTCAGTTATTCTTATGAATTTCTGCATGTTTTTTTAATTAATATTTTTTACATTATTACAAAACTCAAGAGTCAAAAGTTTAAAAAATCTACTATAATGCGAAGACATGGAAAAATAAGATTCTCCCCCTGATTATTGTCAGACGAGAACGTGAAAAGATATCGCTCGAGTTCAATTCTGAGACCAATTTTTTTTAATAAAAATATAGAACTACAAAAATGTTGGAATCGTGATTGAAAAACTAAGATCGTGGTCGCCACACGAAATTTATTGGTCACCATAGGTGACCATATTTTACAATTCCTGGTATGCGTCGAACAGCCTATGAAACCAATTAGTTCTTTGCAGCAGGATACAACCTTAGCTAAGAGGGTTAATCTATCAATCTCATGACCAGCTGAAAGGAAGTTCGAATTGTAGTGTTAACATTACAATATTTCCTAAATTCCTTCGACACATGAGGAGTTTGCAGTGCTCTGAATTGGTAACTGGACTATTGGAATAAGAAACTCTCACTCACGTATAGATGGCAGCACTACAGAGCTGCTTAACACAGAAAAGTCTAGTATTTCCCATCACTTACGATAGATGACACCACTAGATAAACTAATCAAGCTACATTCCATGATTCACTGGACAAAACACATCTCAACCACAACCTAACTCTTGTGTTCATTACCTAACGTAATCTAACTCGATGTCCAGTTAAGTTGTAGCTTTACAGTTTTGAAACCATATTAATGGTAAATGATCACAAAACCATATAGTTTTGTAATCACGGTTTTTTAACCATACCAATTGTAAACCATTTTCAACACGTAAAGGTAAAGAAATATTCATAAAAGTAAACATTACTGTTAATTAGATAGAGAAAGAGATGCCGGTTATTTTACTGTAATTTCAGAATGAAAATTCAAACGATGTATATTATTTAGAACTAGTTAAAACTCATAAACAGTTATAATTCACCATAATTTTTTACTATCGCGTAAAAGAAATTATAGCATAAATAATACCATAATTAATAATTAATTGACGAGGACGTTATTGTGACATGGATAACTATAAAAACATGAAAAAAATAAAATGGCATGAACATTGTTTTTTCAAGTAAAAGTTTGATTCACAAGGAAAAGCAAAGATGACTGTTGAGCCATTTATAGGGGTTTGGGAACGAGCTTATATAATTGAGCTGAGGGTGAATTCTCCGAATAGTGTAAAGAAAATAGCAGTGAAAAAAATAATAGTAATTATTATATTTATATTCTGAGAAAGAAAAGTATGGTAAAAACTACCAGAATATGGTGAAATTTACGATTTTTCTGGTTCTATGGGAATACCAAACAGCTCGGTGATTTTTGCCGAAGAACTTCTGTAATGATTTTGGTAGAATTA